CCTGTGAGTATTAGATTCTCCAAACCCTCCTTTCTCATTACATGTCCTAGAAATTTCAGCTGCCAGGTCCTGATGTTAAGTATAAGATTCCTCCTTGTTTGCATCCTTTACAAAACCTCATTGTTGCTCACATGTTCAGTCCATGATATCCTTAGCATCCTTCTGCAGAACCATTGCCTCAAGTCTTTTCTTCATCTTTGAGGAGACCGTCCAACATTCGCTGCCGTAAAGAAGGACAGATGTTACGTAGCAGTTTAGTACTCTTTTCTTTGTTACCAAAGATATCCTGCTGTCTCGCAACACTCTGCTCAGCTTTTGGAATGCGTTTTTGGCCAACCCAATACGTCTTCGGATCTCAGTGTCGCACTTACCGTCCTCTGTCAAAACACTTCCCAGATATTTAAACTTCTGCGTCTGCTTGATGTTAGTGTCCCCCGACCTGTAAATTCCATTTCGGGCTCTTCCTTTTATTGCTGATGACCATGCATTCTGGCTTCTTGTACTTTATGCTTAGTCCCTTTTTCCCGCTCTCCTCGCTACCTTCTGTAGGTTTTTTTTTGTAATTTCTTTTTCGTGTCTGCTCTAAGTACTCTGTATCGTATATTGTTAAGATTGTGGCCGCTATTGATGAATCCCGGTAGGAATAGCAGTTCTCTCAGAATTGCCCCACTCTACTCTCTTTCTTCGGTTTCTGAAATTCTTTCTTTGTCAAGCTCAACTCCCGACACTTCTCAAGATCCGATTCAAATGCATATGTTGTTAATAGTCGGCTAGGGTTAAATAGACATAGACAGCAAAGAGGGCAACATTCATCTTTTTTGTTTGTTTTTCCCTGGATTTAATGGTTATGATATTAAATCTAATTGGGTCATTGGTATTCTTTTTGCTTTCGTATTAGTTTTCTTCTACTTTTTGTCGGATGTTCGAAATAAAAAAGCTACAAAAACAATCTTATTAAATCCCAACGCTTTTATCCTACAACAGTCATGGACAAACCCGTAGGCCACATGTGGCTCATTTTGGCTTTCTGAATAGCACGCCTGATTTTATAACAAATCTTATAATTTTCATTGTTTTGTTTTGTTCTCACTTGTTCACTCACACTTTCTCTCACACATAAATACAATCAGAACAATTAAGTGAAATGCTTATTCCTTTTTTTTTTAAACTTTCCTCTAAGGTAACGTTTGCATCATTTTAAATCAGAGGTTTTTTTGACTCATAGACCATTTGGGGGGGGGGTTGCTAGACTCACATAAACATTCGATGAAAACAAAGCTTATTTTACTTTTTACTAATTAATAGGTTTGGGAATAGTATTATAGAAATAGTACATATATATGTTTTATTTTAAAGTAAATCTAATTTATGGAAAATATCCTTGGCTAGTGGAAAAAGCATTGGTTGAAGTAATCCATTGTTGGAGAGTTGAGCTAGTGGATTAAATAAGGGGTTCGGATGGAAATTCCAGCGTATAGCAACTGAAGAAGGCCGGGACATACAATGGCCGAAACTTCGTGAATATGGCAACGAACAATGTAAATAATTTAAATAAACTTGTATTTAACAACCAAATTCTAAGGAACATTTATGAACATTAGTAAAATAACTTATAAACTATTTTAAAATATGTGAGTAAATTTTTTAAAAGTACAGATTTATACAATGAGATTTCTGTGGTTGATGCTGATTTTTTTTTTTTTTAAATATTTGGCTCCACCGACGTCAATGAGAGTCAAGATCCCCCCTTTTCACAATGTTGAGTCTATTACTATATTAATTAATTTAGATTAATATTTTATTTTATTAATTCTTAAAATAATATTATTTATTATTAATATATTAAATTAATCTATATAATAAATTATAATCTTTTATCTAATTTTCCTTATATATATATATATATATATATATATATATATATATATATATATATATATATATATATATATATATATATATGTATATATATATATATATATATTGTGTATTTAGGCAGCATCTTTTCATTCAAACACGTTTCATTAAATAATATAGCAATATAAGTGTTTATCGTTGCTTAGAAATCATCTATGTAAACATTGACAGACTACCATCACTGTCTTGTCCGTATATTGCTTAATATGTTGCAATTGACATCTTTGATAATGGCTTATGTAAGCCGAAAGCTTAGATTGTATTAAAAAAATATGGATCAATATTGTGAATTTCTTTCTTCGTTCAATGATAATGTTATTAAACTTATTAGACGTTATGAAAAGAATTTACATAAAATAAATAGACAGCACTTGTCTATATATATATATATATATATATATATATATATATATATATATATATATATATATATATATATATATAAGCCTTCTATTACATATTCTTTTTGTTTTTTTCCTGTCAGTTTTATAGTTGTTCTTCTATATTTAGTATTTTAATATGGCATAGATTCCAATTCTCACTTAGTAGAGAGTCATAAACGTTTACGACATGAAGACATTTTACTCTTTATTTGTGGGGGAGGGGCGCTATACCATTCGACGTAAAGAAAACTATTTTTTATTTTTTAATGATAGATAAGTTTAGGAATTGTATTATAGAAATAGTAAATGAATATGTTTTATTTTGATGTAAAACGAATTTAATGAAAATAAAATTGTATTTAACAATTAAATTCTGAGGAACATTTATGTACACTAGTAAAATAATACATAATAAACAATTTTAAAATATGTGAGTAATTAATAATTTTCTTTTAAAATGCAAATTTATTCAATGGGATTCCTGTAGTTGATGCTGCTCTGGGTGTTTTTTGTTTATTTTAATTTGGCCCCCATCGATGTCAATGATAGCCGAAGATCACCCCTTTTCACAATGTCCAGTTTATTACTATATAAATTAATTTATATTCAATATATTAATATATAATTTTATTATATTTCATTAATATTTAAAATCAATATTTTTATTTATTATTAATATATTAAATTAATTTATATAATAAATTATCATCTTTATATAATTTGTTTTTATATATATAATCCTTCCGTTATATATCTCAACTTTTACAATCAAAGGTAGAGTGAAAGGGACGCTAACTTATACATCGCTTGATCACATTTTCTGCTTGTTTTAGAGTTGTTTTTCTATTTTTTAATATTTCAATATGGCGTAGATTACTGGAGAAATTCCAGTTCTCAGTTGTAAAATTCCGTTCTGAATTGAAATTGCTCTATGGTCTGCTAAAATAATACCGTGGACCCTCAATGTGATATATCTTTGTGTCGAACGCCTGTGATATGTTACATGGACCACAGGCTCCATATGCATCTAATTTGCGAATCTCTGTTTTAAACAATTGACGATTTTCACTAAGGATGATCAGACGTGTAAATATCTTTTGCTTTAGAAATAGGAAACCAGTATAGTTTTTTTTTTCTCTGGAGAAGAAAGATATTTTTTATTTAAATTTTTTCAAGTGAATAAATTAGAATTTAACCACCTGAAACGGTGTTTGCTAATTATACTTTCATCTGTTTCATTATTATACCGACAAAGATTTTTTTTTTAATTATAGAAAAATCTTTTCCCCAAAGAAAAAAGAAATGAACTTTTTTTCCCCCGATTTCAAAGGTAGAATTTTACGTGTATGTTCTTCCGTAGTAAAAATGGCCGAGACAATAGCTTGAAATTTTTTTTTTACTAGCGCTGCCCGCCTTATGGAAAAGGTTGCCGATGCCAGTCCTACAATCATTTCGTCTTCTCGATCGGCGACTTTTGGTCTCAAGCAACAAGAAACGGATGTTTAGTTGGACGTTGCTCCAAGCAACATCACCATATTACAGCTTAAGGGGTCAGTCAAGGGTTAATGGTTGATCCCTGAGGTGCCCCGAAGGTGAAGCGCCAAGGGAACTTGGCTCGTACAATCGAGTAAGGCTTGCTAATTTAAACGGGCCTCGTATCGAATCTGGTCTCGTCGGGGAGACGGATAAATATCGTCTTCTGGTTAGACTGATGTGTATTTTAAAACAAATAAATGTTCATCCGCATTCCTAAAACCCTGACTGTTGGCAAGGGAAGTAAATTGTTTTCGTGGCAAGACATGTTTTGAAGGTGCAGGTTTCAAGATATTTGCTTCTTGCAACATTTTATCATATAAAAAAAAATGTCGATTATAACCACGGCAACAAATGTCGGCGAAGTTTTCTTTTTTTCTTTTTTTGTCTTTCTTTCTTTTTTTTTCTTTCTGTCTTTTTTTTCTTTCTTTCTTTCTTGTTTTTTTTCTTTTGTTCTTTTTTCTTTCTTGTTTTTCTTTCTATTTTGATTAGTTTTTCTTTTTAACATTTTTTTACACATTTTTCTATTTTTTTTTTATTTTAGCCTAATTTTTGGCTTTCTTCTGTCTCTCAATCAATTTGTTTATTTTTTGCTTCCATTTTTTTAGAAGATTTTTGATTGTTTCATTTCTTTTTTTAATTCGTTACATTTCTTTTTCGACTCTCATTTTTCTCATCATTTCGTTTTTACAACTTTATTTCTTATTTCTTTTTCTTTCTTTTTCTTTCTTTCTTTTTCTTTCCTTTTCCTTCTTTCTTTCTCGCTTAATTTTTATTCTTTCTCACTTCTTTCCTTTCTTTTTTCTTTCTTTTTTTACTTTTGCCATTTTTGGCTTCTTTATTGTTCGTTTATTCATTTTCTTTGTTTCTTTTTTTCTTGTTTACATTTTTTCTTTTTCGCTTCATTTTTTTTACTTTTCCCAATTTTTAATTCTTCCTTCCTTTGTTTGTTTGTTTCTTTGTTTGTTTGTTTCTTTCTTTTTTTCTTTCATTCTTAACATCTTGATTGCTTTAGTGTTTCCTTTTCTTCCTTTTGCTTTCTTTCTTTTCTTATTTTAACCTCTTGTTTCTTGCCATTTCTTCCTTTTCTCTATTTTCTTTCCATTCTTTCTTTCTTTCTTTCTTTTTTCTTTCTTTCTTTCTAATTGTCTTTGACATTTGTACTAGAATGTATAATTTTCTTTTTCCTCGATTTTCTTTTTCATTTGTCCTTTCTTTCTTTTATCTTCCTTTCTTTTTCTTTCTTTATTTCTTTCTTTATATTTTCTTCTTTCTTTCTTTCTTTCTTTCTTTCTTTCTTTCTTTCTTTCTTTCTTCTTACTTTCCTTCTCTTTTGCCTTCTTTTTCTTCTACCTTCTGTCTTTCTAGCTGTTCTTTGTATTCTCCCCTTTCTTTCTTTCTTCTTTTTCTTTCTTTCTAATTCTCTTTGACATTTTTACTAGAATGTGTAATTTTTTTTTTCTTTTGATTCTCTTTTTCATTTGTCCTTTTCTTTCTTTTATCTTCCTTTCTTTTGCCTTGTTTCTTTTTCTTCTACCTTTTTTCTTTCTAGCTCTCTTTCTTTTCTCCCCTTTCTTTCTTTCTTTCTTTCTTTCTTTCTTTCTTTCTTTCTTTCTTTCTTTCCATCGTTCTCTTTCTTAACTCCTTCCTTCATTCTGTTATTTCCTTTTCCTTCCTTTTCCTTCCTTTCCTTCCTTTTCCTCCGCTGTGCCTGTATATATGCATACAGACTACGTATTTCGTTTCCTTTCTTCCTTTCTGTCTTTATTTGTCCCCCTCCTTTCTCGATTTGTTATTCTTTTCTTTCTATCCCTGTTTTACTGGCCACAGTCCCGCTCTCCAATGACACATTTCGAATATAGAGGAAAAAACAACAGACGTTTGTCAGGCAGTCAATATGAAGACATTATTTGAGCGATTAAAATAATCATGAAGTCAAAAATCACAGAAAATATTAACGGCCATTTCATTCCGTTTACCTCCATGCAAAACAAACTTTATTCTTTCAATTGCATCAAAAATAATTCAACAAAATGACGATGTTATACTGGAGCCTATTACAATCGTCAAGTCAGCTTTTTTTATCAAAACGTTCAAGACTATTCACTGTTTACTAGTATTAATACTAATACTAATACTATTAATAATAAAATTAAAAAGACCTTGAAATAGAAATCTCAAAAATGTGGCACATGGGAACATCAACAATCCCTGTTGTAGTTGGAGCCCTAGGACTGGTTGGAAAAGATTCCAGTAGACTAATTGAAGGGATTCCTGGAAATCCATGCTTCAAGGAGATGCAAAAAATTGTTCTGACAAGTACAGCCCACACTTTACGAAGGGCTTTATCTATGTATTTTTTTTTTTTTTTTTTTGTCAGTGAAAAGTGTCATGATGCCATTTCTAACCTTAGGTCCCTGGGCGGGACCCGGAAAGAAATGTGTAAACGCCAGAAATCAAAGAATAATAATAATAATAATAATAATAATAATAATAATACACAATGTTTTCAACACTTACTGAAGCGCGAAATTTGAGAAAATAAATATAAAAAATAGACCCAATGTTTAACAATGTCTTTTACTTCTGATTTTCTTAATTCGCACTTCTCTCTAAGCGTGAATAATAATAATAATAATAATAATAATAATAATAATAATAATAATAATAATTACTGTTATAATAAAATAATATCAATAACCTATTATAACGTGATTCCATCGGTCACGCAGCCTGATCTTCACTACTTCGCAAGAAGAGATTCGCTTAATATTACGACATTAATCGAGGCGAATAAGCAAATATGAGTGTCAATCGATATCTTCCGATGCCTTGATCTCGATCCCCGTTCTTTCTTTTATCCTTTCCTCACCCCCCCACTCTCGTTTCTCTTACATTCTCTCTGTAACCCTTTGCTTGCCAGTGGCATTCCCGCCTTGCTTGGGGTGAAATTCTCAAAATAAATGTCTTACAATAGAATATCTCATTAAGTAACAGAGCAATTATTGCTATTATATTAAACGTTATTTCTTCTGTTTTTCTTAGATTTCTTCATATATTTTTCGAACATTTTACTTTTAGTTATCTAAAAAGCAGAATACTTTCTAGCATGTGATTGTAGAAGTAAATTCTACGGATGAGAAATCCTTCATTACTCCCGTAGAAAATACAGGGGACGGCAAAACATACTTCCTATGAATACCTGCTAGAAATACATCTGTCATACTGAGAAGCCATTAACTAGATGAAGACAAAATTACCACTAATATTTTAACATGTTGGCAGAATTTCCGACAGGTATATGTGAGGGTATTTCTACTGCACCCTAGAATCAAAGCAGGTCGTAAAAATTATAGCGAACGATGTTAAGCATTTTCATGACTGTGGCTGAAGGCTTTCAAATATATGAATTCGACATGGAGTATATATATATATATATATATATATATATATATATATATATATGTATTGTGTTCTTTAGTATTTTTTTTATTATTTTTAAAAAATAGTACTATATATATATATATATATATATATATATATATATAGATACACCTAGTGAGCCAGACAAACCTACCTAGGTTTCACCTAAACGGATCGTCAGGGAAAGTTTTTGTTAGTTAGTTGTTACTCGTATCGGGGTTTTTCTTTGGGCTTCAGACCTGCATCTGTGCGATTTTTTTTGTCGGCAGAAGTTCATGTTTGTAGCTCTTTCTTTTTTTAAAACCTTTTTTTCCCTCGAGATTGATTTGATTAGCAAATCAAAAATTCGAGGGTTTTTCGAAACGATTCTAGTTATCTATCTATATATCTATATCTATATATATATATATATATATATATATATATATATATACTCGACTCTGGCGTCGAATTCGACCTATGAGGGTCAAGTCTCAAGAAAACTGATAGTCCGACGCCAGCACATGAGATTTGATTATAGTGGTGAAGGTTTTGTGCAGAACAATCCACACATTTTGAAGGGCCGAATACAAAGACTTGTTGCACTACGTGCCACAGGGTCCCCAAACGACCCTTCGCAGAAAAAAAAAATGAATCCTCTTCTTCTCCCTCCAGCTATGGGCAAATAGCAGAACAGACTGGGTTCTTTAGCCTTGGATGGCAACTGGTCTAGGAGAAGGACAATTTTGAATATATATATATATATATATATATATATATATATATATATATATATATATATGTGTATTTAGGCAGCAATCCCACTTTGATATATATTTCGTTAAAGACAAGACACCGCGTCTAAGCTGTTTATTTATTCATTTATTTTTTGTGTTCGTATAAATGTTTTCTTTATTGGAAACTAAGTGTCCAAAACTGTCCACAAGTACTGCATTTCTGAGCGTTTCGTCTATTTTTGTAGCCATAATTGCAAAAAGAATATCCGAAATATATATATATATATATATATATATATATATATATAACAACATAGCTCACAAAAGAAGAAAAAACGGAAAATTATATTTACGTATGTACAGATAGTTAGAAAACAGGAAGAAAACATTCATGGGATTAGCATTTGCGCGCGTGTTTGTATAAACCTCGTGAGTGAGTTGAAATTAAGTAGTCGGCTTGTTCGAGGAAGTGTCATATGCGGACTATTCCCTATGGGTCAGAGAGCAAAACAGAGAGACAGACAGACAGACAGACAGAAAGACAGAAGAAGGAGACAGTTCTTGATCCTTCCTTTTATTGTGCTGAATAAAACGACACTTAGCAAATGTACTGGCAGACAACGTCGAGTTATCTAGAAGTTTATCAAATAACGCCGATATTTTTGACGACACGAGTAGGCTAAAATATCTATATTCATAGATTTTTGTGCGTGTGTGTATGTGTGTGTGTGTGTACACGGTTAATATATTAATTGTATCATTTTCTTTAAAGCTTGCCGATTAACTGAACTAAAATTTAAATAACGTACTAAAATGTGTTTTCTGAAAGTTCTCATTAATAGCTTATTAGTACCTCATCTTTATATCTGGCAGATACATTTTATGTATATTTTCTATATACTTTTATAGACACGTAAATATACGCTGTAGAGAGCATATATTTACCTATGTGCATACGTTTATATATATATATATATATATATATATATATATATATATATATATATAAGGAACTCATCCGCTTGATGATCTTTTCGTCTATTTTTTCTTGCTTCCTTGCAAGTTTCGTAATGCTTGGGCCCAGTTTATTAAAGCAGGATCCCAGTCGATAGCTTTCTGCCGAGCTTACTGGGATTCAAAAAACTGAGAAATGGTCATCAAGCGAAAGAATTTAGTAGTTTTAATGACACATACCTTAATAACGACACGCTGCCAAAATACACACACACACACGCACACGTGCGTGCGCACACACACTAATACACACACACACACACACACATATATATATATATATATATATATATATATAGGGTGTCCATAAAGTTCGTGTGCACTTTAAAAAATTATAACTTTATTTGTATTTGCGATAGAAATAATCTGTAAAAAATGTTACAAAGATTAATGTACCTAGTTTTAAGTATAGCTAAAATAACTAATGTGATTTCAGGCATTATTTTAAATGTTTTCCGTGAACTGCAAAATCGTATTACCCTTTGTATTGCTAATGATGGAGGACATGTGGAAACTTCAATAAAATTTCAATAAAACCTTAAAAATATATAGATTTACTTCTTTCTAATCCTTTTTACAAATTATTTCTATCGCAAACACAGATAAAGTTATAAATTTTTTAAAGTGCACACGAACTTTATGGACACCCTACGCGCGTGCGCACACACACACACACACACACACACACACACACACACATATATATATATATATATATATATATATATATATATATATATATATATATATATGGCGAAAGCAGTGCAATTTAAGGGTAAATATAACTTTTTTAAAATATGCTATACCCCTCAAAGACATGCGCGCGGACTCCCACCTACTCTTACTAATGTTACAATATATATGCAAGTGAAATTTGGGTATCCCGAGGCGGTGTAATGTTTAGCAAGCTTGTCTCACTAGAAAGATTACGACTGAGTAGTGAGTTCGATTCTCACTGGCTACGCTTGGAAAATCACTAAATACACATGAGATCTCACCTACCAATGAAACTAAGGTCCCACTAGTCGAAATACAGAATCTTTTCCACTTGTACTCCCACCCCCCCAAACATTTCTGATGAATTTAGAATTAGAACGAAATATGCCAAATTTATAAACGTTTTCCTCTATTGTTAATTGCCTATATATATATATATATATATATATATATATATAATTATTATTATTTATAAAAAAATTATAACATAAGTATGTTATAAAATCACTACAAAAATAGCCATTTTGTTTCAACACACTCGGTGATTTTATTTTATCTCCAACATCATCACTTGATAAGACACTGAGTGTGTTGAAACAAAATGGCTATTTTTGTAGTGATTTTATAACGAATTTATGTTATAATTTCATTATCAATTTTTTTTTTATAAATAATAATTATATCTGCTCTACTTTGTATTGAGCACTCTTTTTAAGAATAGTAATTGTTGGTTATTGGAATTCATTCCGTATATACCAATTATATACTTAGGTATATATATATATATATATATATATATATATATATATATATATATATATATATTTGGTATACATAATAAACAATACACACACACATATATATATAATTATATATATATAAAGAGATACGTTGATGTGATACCATCTGCGACACACTAGCAACCGATTATGTTGATGTACACATCTTTGCCTGCGTTTTTCAGAGAGTGGGATTG